GAAACTTGGAGCAGAGGAGGCAAAGGACACGTGAGCCCTGAAGGCGAGGACGTGGCCTGGGCCAGATCCTGGAAAGGGAAGGGACAGCAGTGGGAACATAATGAAATCCTAGTCAAGTGTGGAGCTCAGTGAATGGTGACACGTAGGGGTCCTTTCTTGGTTGTGACGATGTAAGAAGCAGGACATGAACAGTACGGGAACCTGCGTGAGGCATATCTAGAACCTCCTGTGCTCCCTTTGTAAACTTTCGTAAACCTAAACCTACTCTAAAATAAAAAAGGGTGGTTCGTATATTTTCTTTAAAAGGTTGTTGTTGTTGTTGTTGTTGTTGTTTTAATCTTCCTCGGGGCCCCTCCCCTTCCTTCCTGGAAATATAATCTCAAGTTCCGAATGTTTTTAACTAAATTCTGTAACTTTCTGCACAGCTCTTCAAATTCATTAAAAAAAAAACACATTGAATTTTGCTCTTAATATGAGTAAATTTTATAGTATGTAATTTGTACCTTAATCAAATTTTTTTTAAAAGAAAAAAATTCTGTACGTTCTATCCATTGATTTTATCCTCCAGCTCCTTGCATATTGAAAATGTTTCTTCCTTCTTTTTTTTCCTTCCTCCCTCTTTCTCTTAGCCTCCTTTTTTTCGGATTTCATGTGTGTGGGTGGGGGGAGGGGTGTCTTTATTTTTTATTTTTCCCTCTTGTATAGAAATTTCTACTCTCTTTACGCTTCATTACTTGGGAGCGTCGGTATTTTTCACACCCAGGTGCTGCGTTGGGAAGTGCGGGGTCTCTTTCACCACGTACGCGGAGGTGGGGGCTCTACTTTCTTGAGCAGCTGTGGGACCCACTCCCCAGGACAACATCAGCCCGCAGCCAGGACGCCAACCAGTCTGCAGTTTCGGAAACGAGACCGCCTACAGCTTCCCAGACTTGCACCAGTGGTGCAGGCGAGCGCCTGGGGAGTAGCGGTGTGCGCATGCGCGCCCCGCCTGGCTCCCGAGACACGTGGTGAGGCAGGTGTCCCGGAGCGCAGGACATACGGACACATACAGGGCGACATGGAAGCCAGCTGTCTTCTTGTGGGGAATTTGCTCCAAGGCTGGAGGACAGCCTTCCAAGGTGGCCGAGAGGAGTCCTCAGCAGGCGATGCTGTTTAGCAAACATCTTGTTCGTTTTTGCTGTGATTTTTGGACTCTCATTTGGCAGTCCTATCAACTCGGAGGTTTACACGTAACAAAGTAATCAGTTTGTCTTAACTTCCAAGGGAGTCAAATCTCATGTATGATGCAGTAGACGTATCTGAAATGCAAATCAAAATGGGGCTGTTCTCATTCCCATGTGACTCCTGTCCGTACTGAGTGTGACTCCTGCTCTCGTGGGTGAGCGCGGACCCCAACGGGACCCTCCCTCCCCGATGAGACCCCTTACGAGGATCAAGTGGTCCTCAGCGTTTGGAGAGAGCCGTGTGCGGGGTGATGTGAGCAGAGTCCCCTTGTCTACGCCCCTTGTCCCTGCTCACACCTGCAAGCTGGGCTTGTGTGGGCATCCCCAGGGCCCAGGAGACTTTCCTGTGGACGTTTTCCTTCCCCTCAACACCCCCGCTCCGTTTTCTTGCCACTCGTACCTGATCCCCTGGATCCTGGTTCTTTCACTCCTACCGGGTTAAATTTAGGGCAGCCTGGGCTCCCACACTGACATTCTTGCCCCACCTGCCCCCCCAATCCTGGAAAGGCTTGGCTTCCAGGGCAGGATGTAGTCAGAGCCGTTTTGTGTCCCATCGGCACTGTGGGGTAGAAGCAGGTGTCCTTCTGGAACCTGAAGAAGGGCGGGCATGGTGTTCCCAGCCCTGGGGGGGGGGGGGGCGCTGCTTTCTCTTTCTCATTTCTTTCTTTCTTCTCTTTTTATTTTTGGCCTATTCAAGATATCTGAAGACCAAACGACAAAACCAGATTTCTTCAATTTCCTGCCAATTTAGCTTTTGGATCTTTTGCCAAAATAAAACCAAAACAGTGCACGTCTCTTTACTTCTTTGAATTCTGATTGCAATCCCTTCTCTCTGTGTGTATGTGTATATCTTTCAAGCAACAACATTCTGCACGTATAATGTGCCAGGCACTATTCTAGGTGTTTTCACATGTTTCTTTCTCTCTCCCAGCAGCTGCAGAAATTCAACAGTACTGCTATCCCCAAATCCCAAATGATACAACCAGAGAACAGCCCAACAGGGACGTGAACTCCAGGGGCACAGCCCTAGAGACATGCCCTTACTTAGCATCCTGTACTCCTTCTCCAAGAGCTTCAAGCAGGACCACTCCCTAATTTCCAGGGCCCAGTGCAAAATACAAATGCAGGACCCCTTGCTCAAAAATCATTACAAATCTCAAGACGGGGCAGCAGAGGATTAAACCAAGATTAGGAGCCTCCGGAGTGGCCAAGAAGCAGCTCCATCTTCAAGGGCTGCTTTCTAGTGTGTGTGTGTGTGTGCGCGCGTGTGTGTGTGTGTGCATTTGTGAAAAAAATTATTGCTAGTTTTATATAGAGGGAAAAAGCGAGACACAGAAATTGTTTTGTTGCATACGAGGTGTATCACTGTTTTTGTATTGTGGTTCTCCTTTGCTTATTCCTCTAAAATGACAAGTAGCCATTGGGTGGTCTCAATGGACAGTTCAATATCAAAGCATCGTATCAACCATTTCCAATCAGACGCAGCTCCCCCCTCCTTCCTGAAAGCCCATTAGTTCCCATCTTTGTGATTAGTTTTAAATACAGTGTGTGACACAGAAGGACATTTAAAAAAAAAGAGATTAAACAACAAAAAAAGAACAATTGCCCCACATCTTTCCACATGCATGAAATTACGTGAGCAGAGAAGGGAGGCTATCTTCTAAATAAATCGTTCTAAGTACTGGTAAGGATCATACCAGCATAAGATTGTAAAAATAAATCTATATAAGCAAGAAATCCATACTGGTGCTGCATTATTAATGTACGTATATGATTTTATTTGATTGTCTTTATTTTTAAGTGATCTTAAACATAATTTCACTGCATCATTTTTAAAACAACACAAAACTTAGTTGACTTGAATAAGGACGGTGGTGAAGGTGAGGACCTCAAACCAACCTGAAAGTTGGCCTGGCCACAGTTGGGCAGGGACGACGGCACCGCTGTGTGGCATCACTGACCCTGCACGGGCCCCTCACTCCCGTGCATCACCCACGGCAGACGAGGAGCCCCAAAGGATATCAGCAAGACTGGGATCTTGGGCCACTCCCTTTTAACCATGATTAGTTTGTAAAAGTTAATCCAATGCATACAAAGTTACAGAACTGATTTGTGAAAGCAATTACAGATAATCAGCAGTGAAGTGTATTTGATAATCCCCGGCATCCCCGTGGGGGGTCAGACCGATGACAGGTGGACAAAGAGAGTCACGTGGGGTCTGCAGCCCAGCGCTGGCCCGCATGGCTGTGGTGGGCGGTCAGGAACTAGCCCAGTGGGTTGTCACCTCCAGTAGCCTGGTTCTGTGCGATTTTCTGCTGTTTATCATTCAGAGATCTTTCTGGCGGTATTTGCTAAAGCTGAACCTAGGCACAGCCTACGTCACGACAGTTCGACTTCTAGGTATCAATGCCACAGAAATGTGTACATAGGTCTTCCCAGATATTTTCAAAGAATGTTCATAGAAAGTTTAAATGCCCTGTTTTCACGTAATGAGTCTAGATTTTTATATTAGCAACTGAGTCAAAAACTGTAAAGCCACGCAGGAGCCAAGCGAATGGACCCGTGGCCTGCGCTGGTGCGCTGCTCATGGGTTACAACCTCTCTCCCGGGACAGGCAAGCCTGATTCATAGCTCTAGTTATAAGGGGATTCGTGAAGATCTTCTAACAATACACTGCACCCCCCGGAACAACCAGGCTGGGAAGACCCCCCTCTCCGCACAGGGCTGAGAAGGAGTGCCGATCTCTCCAGGGGCCCGGTGGGGCTGCCTGTCACTTGGCCGTAGGGACTTGCTGGCTCGTCCATCCGTCGCGCACAGGCAAGCAAGTCAACACCCTCAAGTACTTAGTCTATCAGCACCCTTCCTGCGTTTGCATGTAAGGCAAGCGTCTCGTGTCTGGGCCCCTACACTTAACCTAAGAAATGATCTGTTATAGGAAATCCCACTATAACATCATTTCTCCTAAGGCAAATTGGGAGAAAGCTAGGGAAAGGGACGCTGCACCACCGGTGCTCCGGTGGAGACCCCACCCCACCCCCCCACCACGGGGTTACCTCCTCTTCGCCCGTTTCCTCATTGCTAAATAAACTCCTCCTGAACCACTCTGACTTCCCTCACGGTTTCACACTCGAGGAAGATGGGATTCACATTTTAATGCTGGTTTAAACTCAAAGCAAAATAAACGTTAGGAATACTTTAGGTGGCGGAATGCATCATCTGCCGATAAACTGTGCTAAGTCATGGAAGAGGAACCGGGAGGCAGCTGTAGACCACAGTGGCTTGGCGTGCAGGGCTGTCAATCTGGAGCACGATCTTCTCTACCCATAGGCTCTAAGAAGTACTTATTTTATATCTGTCTCTATAGTGTCGATGTGAACAAATTCTTTTTGAAACATGTAAGATATTCATAATCGCAAATGCTTTGTTTCCTACCCTAACACATACTACTTTATAATGTTTTACGAGTATGCACTGAATTCTTATTTGCTTATTTTTAAAGATTTATTTTAGAGAGAGGGAGAGAGATCGTGCCTGTGGGGGGGTGGGGCAGAGGGAGAGGGAGAGAGTCTCAAGCAGACTCCCCACTGAGCACAGAGTGGGACGCGGGGCTCGATCTCATGAGCCCGAGATCATGACCTGAGCCAAAACCAAGAGTCGGAGGCTCGACTGGCTATACCACCCAGGCACCCCTGCACTGAATCTTTAAAATGGCATTTAGGTACATGGAGAGAAACCAAAACATGAGTGGTGTTAACCAAACTCAATCAAAAGGCCAGGCAGAAGGCACGAAGTTTTTTTTATTTGGTGATTCAAGTTAGCAGCAACACTAGGACAATGACTCACCTCCTAGATCAGGACTCCTGCTCGGCCTATACTTTTTAATTATAATATTGTAAAACACAGTAAGTTGCAAAACATATTTGATTTTAACCAGAAAGCCAAAGTTGTGGTCATCAGAGTTTTAAACAAAGTTTAATCTTAGACACAAAATACAAATCATCTCTTGTTTTGTTTTGAAAAGCATATTCTTGAACACATTTCAATGTGGACTGGAGAAAATGAGTGTAGACCAGGTTCTATTTTTTTCCCCCTACGGTTTAAACTAGAGAAGGAAACTGTTTAATGAAGTAAACTCTTTAAACCGATGACATTTACAAAAAAGGCAAGCAGAACAAGGGAGACTGATGTTCTAAAGACGCATTTGTGAATACGATTCTCGATTAGATGGAAAGGAGGGTGATGTCTCTGGCATACCCTCAGCCATGTAACAAGCACACGGCACCGAACACCCTTCAGGACGCCAAGAACTTTAATGAAACCTCAACTTTTGTAAAGCTAATAACATGAGTACGTTTTAAAGGCTGGGATAATAGCAGCAGTTTAAAACAGAAGACTAGGAAATAAAGGGCAAATAGATTCCATTATTATAAATGTATTCATTAACTTCTAGCGGAGATTTTATTTTTACATAAGAACAATTAGAGCTATTTTTTCACTTCATGCTCGTGTGTGTAAGAATCGGAATTACCCCCCGGTAAAGTTTCTGAAGTGACTGAAATTAGCTAGAAAAAAATACATGTTAGGTATAGACACACAACAGAATGACTTCCCTCCTGTGAAAAATATCTGGTGGGCCATCAGGTGATATAATATTACAGATAAAAACTGCAGACTTGAAGTAAACCAGAAGAATTTAAATAGTACCTGTATTTTAAGTCCAACTGCTTAATATATTTCCATGTAAGCTTTTAATTACTTTTTCATATGTCCAATGCAAGATTTCTATCCTTTTGTTTTGTTTTGATCTACTTTCCACAATGTTTACTGCAAGAGGAGAGGGGCATACTTAACCTAAAGAGAAAGGCTGGATCCTGAGATTCCCCAAGAATGTCCTCATGTCCCACGGACAGGGACACTTAGTTCCGCAGTCGATAATGGAATGCTGTTTTGGAAGAAATGATTTTTGTCCCCTTGCAACCTGTGCTCCGTCCAGGTCAAGAAGCCATGACTAAGTCGTTCAACATGGCATTACAGTGAGAACCTTACTTCTAGCTTTCCCTAAACGGGCCCTAGTTCTTGTAATTCACATGACACCCTTTGGCTGTGGTTGTCTGTTAAATTTCCTGTTTTGGTCTAGTTTCAGCAAATCAAAACAAGTAGCTCCCAGAAAAGGCTATGGTAACTACTGTTTTTCTTCCTTTTGGTATTTCCAGTTAAGTATCTTCTCCTTAGAGGTACAGAGAAAGGAAGGAACACAGCCACAAACAAGGTGTAAGTAGGTCACAGAAGCTTCAATGCACCAAAAAACGTGCCGTCCCCATCTCGTGATATTTTAGCGTCCTCACGTGGTATTGCAAGCTGGAGCTCATCTCCTTCTTCCAGCTTTGCGATGCCTGGAAAACAATGATTTACAGGGACTTTAAGTGGTTGTACAATGCGGGAGGCAGGCAAGTTGGGGGGGATGCATTAAATAAAACGATGTTATTTTGGAAAAATGTTAACATAGGCATTCACACTTCAAGTGACACCAGCGGACTTCTAGTCCAGTTACTATTCTACCAGCCTAAAAACAAAAACAAAAAAAGCTAAAGCAAATGACCAGAAAGATTTACAACAGATATAAATGTATTTATCACCTACTGTCTATAAAATGGAGACTCTGAACGGAAACCAATGTCTTATTTGAAGAAAAAAAAGTTAAGTAAATCATAGCACATCCCTTGTTGGGATATTTTCTGGTTAAAAGTGGTTTTGCTTCATTTTATTGACAAAATGGTTTATAATAGTGTTTAAAATGTTAAATAAAAATACAAAATAGAAATACAAAAAAAGGATGTTAAATAAAATAAAAAATAGAAATACAAAAAATAAGGATGTTAAATAAAAATACAAAATAAGTACACACACACTAGGCAGTATGTATATACCACACAGACACTGCATAAATACACACTTAAATGTGCATATAAAATGTGTATATTACTAAGAATAAAAAACAAAACACCACGTATTAGCAAAGCCCATCTGTTAACATAGTTTTTCTCTGGAGTCCAGACCCCGGGGTTAGGAGTCATTTGGATTATTTTTTATAGCCTTCTATGTTTCCATGTGTCCCTAAATGACCATATTTGTCCTCATAATCAAAAGCAATAAAATACTTAGCTTCTCAAAACTGACCAATAAATCTTTATGTGCCTAATTTACAATGATGTGTTCTGTGATTCAGGAACACAGAATACAATTCAGGAACTACACTCGGTACATCAGTAGGGACCCCATTTTCAAAGACAAACATGAAGGGAAAGAAAGGACAATCAGGGGAGAAGAAGCAAAGAAACTAACAAAATATCGAAGTTAATACTTTCAACCAACAATTTAAAAAGTAGTTGCATTTTCGTGAAGATGCCGTGAAAATGTATTTACACGACTATATTACATATGTTAACATCCATCCTCAAGCCCAAAGCACCCAGATCTCCTCAGGCAACAGCCAGTCAGTCTTTATTTATCAAAACTTACGATGTACCAGACACCTTTCTAGACACGCACAGGGCTGTGATCAGAATGACAAAAGATTCTGTCTCCAAGGGTCTTGGTTTTTTTTTGTAATGGACTAAGACAGACAACAAACAAAAGAACATAGTTTTCAGGTATCGTGAAGGGTAATGTGCACACGTTTTAGGATTAGCAAAGCATTTGATGACTACATGAAAAAATATAGACTGGAATTTACTTGTTGAATAAATCAGTTGTTATCATAAAGACTGAAGAGAATCTAATATTTTGACAAAGGCTATCGATCACGGAGCATTAAGTAATACTAACTCTCAAAATAAAGTCAGTGTGAACCGACGATTTTCAAGTAGGTTCTGTTTGAAACTCTTAACACTGAGTTTTTGGCTATTTCAATTCTTCCAGATTACAGCAATCAGCTGTAACCTCTAAAACAGACACTCGATTTGTTAGAGAAATAGTGAGTAAGGTCCAGCTTTGCATAAGGGCAATGCTTGGTGTTATGCTGGGCTCCTCAAGTGGACCATTTGCATTTTCTTCCAGGTTATTATGTACGGGAGCACCGCATGCTCTTATGTACTAATAATTAGGTAGCCTTTAATGGTTTTAAGCAGACTGGTGCTAGAGCAGATGAGAATTGCAAACCTGGAATGTCCTGGAGAACGGTTCTCATACCTAACACTAAGCTACGGCACTGAAACACAGATTTCAGGTCTAGTGAATTAGTCTTAAAAGGCGAGGCCCCTGGGAAGTGTGGCCGAGAGCATGAACACGGAGGGGCAATGACCAGCACGGCCCCTGTAAGTACTGCTGAGTCTGGACTCAGTACAGACGGGGGCAGCCGCGCTGTTCTGTGGCTTTTCTGCAACGCCAGGATACTGGTTATTGCTGGGTGCAGGGGAACATCTCTTTATGAAAATGAGGGCGTTTCAATTCAACACACTTCCTCATTATCCCCTTACAGCTGTTCATGGCCACGGGTCCACAGTGACAATCGTCTCCGATTTTCCTTCCTTCCTGATTGAGTGATTGTGCACTTGGTAGCAAACGCCTTCAAAACTTAGGGTTTCGGAGGAGGCGGCCAGACCCCATGCCTGTGTTTCAGGGAACTGTCTGGAACTGAAGACATTCCCCAGGGTTCTCAATGGATTTGTCAAAGTCACCAGAGAGGAATAAATGTGCTAGAGGCAAATATGGGTTTTTTTCCCCCTAACACCAGCTTTGATGAATTTACCCTCAAAATAAAATAAAGACTATGTTGGCAATTATAGCCCAAAGAGCTGAAGTGAACAAAGCCCTCCCTTTCTCCTTCTCTTCTCTCTGCATCTTCACTGACCCTGAGCCGAAGGAGCCTTGCTCCTGCTCGTTTCCATCTCAAGGTCACCTGTCCGGTCCTTGTGCACCAGACGTCACCTGAAGGAGAAGGGGAGAAAGCCTCTGGGCAACCTGACTGGACGCTCGATCCAGTCAAGGGCATGTCTTCAGCAGCACGTAAAACAAAAACACAAACAAAAAAAGCTTTGGGGGCTCACACTCTGGGGTCGGACCGGTTGGTTTGATCCAAGTTCTGGAACTTGGAAGCTGTGCCATCTGGAACAAGGTGTGCTACCTCTCTGTGTCTCGGATGCCGCCTCCCTTAAACAGGGGGATCATACGAAGGAGCCCAGGTCAGGTGCAGACTAGGATGCCTGGCACATGGCAGTCATTCCCTGTGTTCTTACACGGTATTATCTACCGAAGAACGATAAAACCATCAGTCATGATTTTATCCGTTTCGACTCAAACGAACTAGCTCATCCTTCCAGAGAATAAACACCACACGGTATATCGAGGAATGTCTTTCTGTCTATTTATACAGAACTGTTATTTACCAGCTGAATAACAGGAATTATTGGGTAGTGTTTCAGGCATATTTTGAATACATCGGAACAAAGTCACCAGACTCAATTCGTCCCCAAAGACGTGGACTTTTTTCCTCTGTATTAGGTGTCCCATGGCAAAGGTGTTATCGGTGTATAAAACCTGGGGAACAAACAAAGATGCTGGTCAGAAGGGAGCAGGGCAAGGAGACCCAGGACGGAGGGACCAGTGGGGGGAACCTACCTGACCATATATAAAGAAGTAACCGGTTTCTTTCACCACTATTTTATTTTCCTTCTCCTCCAAGGCTCTTCCTCTTTTAAAGCTCAGCAGCCACGGAACGAACGTGTATGCTCCTGTGACAAAGACAGAAGGCTTGAGAGAAGAGCAGTTTTTCACCTCTGCTCAGTGGCTAAACCCGAGTCTGAAACTTAGGGAATTTCATCTTCAAAAAAAGAGGCAAAGGAGACCAATCAGGACGCTCCACTGGTGTTTCAGCCATGGTTCGCACATGACCCCCCGCGCCCCTCGGGGACCCGAGGGCAAGCACGTCCTAAGAAATGTCTGTGTTTTCTTCGAGTCTTGTGTGCGTTTCAGCCATGTTCACCAGAAAGCCTGGTCTGCATAGGATCAAATGGACCAAATGTCTCTGAATGACGGAGATTTTCTGGTTTTCCTTTGGTTCCCGGATAGGAGGGAGTTAGCATGGGGAGAGTTTAGCGAAGGGCACGGGGGAAGGAGGGGAAGGAGGGGAAGAAGCCTCCTCCCCAGAAGGCACCAGAATAGCGCTTAGGGGCAGCGAGGGAGTGACCAAGACGCGGTCTCTACTGGACAGGGTCAAGGAACTCGGCAGGACTCGTCTGTGACATTCAAGTTGAAGCCGTTACTGGTCAGCACACAAATTCTCCTCTGTGACCCCTCAGATGCCCCTGGGGAGTGAGGGGGGAGCCGCCGAGCGCATGAGCCCGAGGAAGGGGGCACAGAACTGCTGGTGGTTACAGAAATGGGTGGGCAGGAGGGGACCCAGTCTCTGCGCCGAACACATACTCTGGGACAAACACCCGTGAGGAAGGTTATATACTCCTCTCCTGTGAATTCACAGCGTTAAATTCACTGGATTTCTCACCATCGTGTAAAAATACTGGAGTAAACGGTGAACCCTGAGGCTAGGTTAAGAATGCAGGAGTTATAGGGCGCCTGGGTGGCTCAGTCGTTAAGCGTTTGCCTTCGGCTCAGGTCATGATCCCAGGGTCCTGGGATCGAGCCCCGCATCGGGCTCCCTGCTCGGCGGGAAGCCTGCTTCTCCCTCTGTCCCTCCCCCTGCTTGTGTTCCCTCTCTCGCTATCTCTCTCTGTCAAATAAATAAATAAAATCTTTAAAAAAAAAAAAAGAATGCAGGAGTTATAAATAAAATGGCATAAACCAAGTGAAAAGATTAGGGAAGTGGTAATATAAGGAGAGAATAGTGAAATGAAACTGTGGTCTAAAATAGTCTAAAAAATGTTCCCTTATAATTGGTAGTGCTGGACCACACGTGTCCCCAGGCTTCACCTTGGTCATAGCAAAAAGGGAAATAATAGAACTCAGGACAATATGCCACAAGCTCAGAGCAGAACAACTTGTCCTGGACTGGGTTTAAAGAACAATTTCCCTGTGGATTTTTGCAACGGGGATAGCACTGTAGGATGTGGTGGTTGGTGATGCTTTCAGACTCATAAATGCAACTGCTGAAGGAACGTGCCTGCTTCAGCTAGCTCCCCCAAGGCAAACCCATCACATCTGAACCTTTTCTGAATAGGATTAAGGGAAGAGTATAAGACAAGAACCCCCTATTTTCAGGACACTTCAGAGAAGTAAAGAACCCGAGGACACTGTGAATCTGAGTTCCGTCCCCTACAGCAGCCCTCCAAGTCGGCAAGTCCATAGGTGGAGGGCGGGTGGCTGTGAGGGAGACCACGAAAGGAACCACAGGTGCCTGTGGACACAAGGCTCCCTTCCCTCCTCTTGGGTGCTCTCAGGACGCACCTCTGTCTCCTATGGGGAGGCAGGCCCCCCAGGATTTGGCAGGCCTGATCACCCGGCTCTGCTGTTCCCAAGAAGGTGTGTGAGGAAACTGGGCTTGGATGAAAGCCCCCGGGGCCACACTGCAAGGGGACAGTCCCTGGAGGAAAGGTCTCCTCAGTGACAAGTCACAGAGGCAAGCTCATGATCCGTCATCTGACATTTGTTTAAAGGAGATCATGTGCTCAAGGCACTTTTAAATGAAGAGTGACCAAAATATGAGGAAGAATGACTTATCGTGTTGTTATTACTGTAAAACACAATTGATAAGGAAAGAGGGCCGCTCCCGTGCTCGTGAGGACACTGGCCAGATGCTCTGACCCAGGCGTGCCTTTTCTCCCTTCCAAACAGCACACGTCTGAGATTCGGACCTCTCCGGGTCCAGGCACCCCCGAACTCTAGTCCTCTGCTATTTCCCAGGGCCTGAAATGATGGCTGGCCGACAGCAGACTGAATAGTCACTGAATTAACTACCTCAACTTTAAACATAAACAAATTCAAAGTGGGGGTGTCCTATGCAGTTGCCCACAAACATCTCATTGTGTTTCAAAAGCTTCGTATTATTTATTAATTTATTTTTAAAAGCATTTTATGAGCTGGTTGCTGGAACTGTGCGAGATGGAACATCACCACAGAGGTAGTATGTACTCTCAAGGTAAAGGAAAACGCACGTTTCCAAAACTGCTTGCTTATATTCTGGCTGGAGATGTTTATTGGCTAAACTTTTTTTTTTCAATACCTTAAGTCGATTTCCTATTTCTTTACACCATACGCACATCTATAGAATTAGTGAGCTGGTTTTTACCAAATTTCACTGCTGCATTGTCAGAATAGAAAGAAAAACAAGTAGTTACTAGGCATATATTCTTTTGTTCTCTTGACATTTTCTTTTGGCATTTCGTCCTATCTTGCTGGAAATATTCTTACTAGAGACAGTCCATCGTTACTGGTTTTTATGTACTGTCTGTATTTCTGCCCCCTGCACATACACGTTACACTCACGTGCGTGCGCGCACATGTACGTGCGTGCATGCGCCCACAAGTTACACTGCATGAGGTCAAATGCCAAGAACACAGCCCTATACAGCATCTGTGCTCAGTGAGTATGTGCTGAGTGAATCTTAAATCGACGAAACAATACATTAAAAGCTAAAGTAATTATAAACTTAAGCATAAATATTATAACATGTTTCTACATCTTAAAACTTACTTAGATTTTTAGCACGCTAATTAGACTATGGATAAATGCTGACAAGAAAATACGCATGAAGTGCCTATTCCATAGGATGCTTTTCTAAACTAGAACGCATCGCCACCAATAAATATTTGAGAATTTGTAAGTAAACTCCAAGAGTATTACTGCTTATCTTTGTTAGTCCACAGCTAAAACACAGATGTGCTGCAGTGTATAAAGCCCGAATTTCCCAGCTCCACTGAGCTGTAAATACTTGATGCATTTAAATGTTTCTGAAAACTACAATAATATGTGAAATTAAATCAACAGAATGCCAGTACTAACGTGAAAATAATTTACATGTATACTTGAAAGTGTCTGCTCTTAAAAAGAGTAGCTCTTTCCTGATCTGACTTATGTGAAAACATAAACTTTCTGTTGACAATATTTTATAGAAAAATCAGATAATGATGAGCACTGGGTGTTATATGCAACTAACGAATCACTGAACACTACATCAAAAACTAATGATGTAAATTGAATATAAATTTTAAAAATTGAAAAAAAATAAAATGCCCAATTAAATCTTGAACCAAAAAAAAAAAAAGAAAGAAAGAAAACTCAGATATATTTCATTAATACTTGTTTTCTATTCTACTTTATGGATAGATTTCCTTGCAAACATTCATACTTCCGGTGTTACCTCCCTCCGTAACTGAAAACTCACTACAGAGAGCAATGGTCAATCACAGCTATCGTACTATCATATTTGGTTGCTTCTCTTGATTTTTTAATCTTATCATCACACAGCTGTTGGAAATAGTTTTAGGGGATAAGATATTGATAATGCTTTTTTAAAAGGCAGATTATATTAACCAACTCAAGAAGCAATAATTTCTTGTATAAGACAAGTGCTGTTTGGCATGGAGATCCACAGTTATGACAGGTTTGATTCTGTAGTTGGGGCGGAACAGGGGGAAAAGGAGGGAGCACAGGCAGCCAGGCAGGGCCATGGGGGCTGAGCCATACGAAGGGCCTTTGGAAGCCCCTGCTGGGCTGTGAGCAGGGACAGAAATGATTATTCTGCTTTAGAAATGTCACTCTGTGGCTACCAGACAAGAATGGGGGTCAAGGAAACCAGCCAAGGGGAGAGATGATGGGGTTCTGTAAGAGGATGGTGAGATGGGCATGGAGGGGGATAGATTAATTCAGGTTATGTTCATGGGGAATAACTGATAGAGTTTGAGACCGATGTACTGAGTCCGAGGGACCAGTCAAGAATGTCATTCTTGACTCCAAAATTCTGCCTGAAACAACCGGGGACACAATCATCACACTCACTGAAATAGGAGGAAATTTGGGGACAAGTCCTACAGTCCAGGCTGAGATTCCACCAAGTTGTAAAGAAAGAGGTGTTAAATAGACAGGGGTGTATGTAGGCTTGGAGCTAAGTGGTTTGGGCTAAAGATCTACACTTAAACCATCAGCACATACATGATAAGGGACAACATAGGAGTATTTAAGAATGCCAAAGAAATAAGAAGAAAGAAAAGAGAATAAGACTACATCAGAGGACTGAAGAACATCTATACTGGGGAGATACATTATAGAGTAATTTGCAAAGAAATTTAAAAAGAAGTGGCCAAAAGAGTAAGGAATTGATTAGAGAAATAACCCAAGGGCAGCATATATTTCAAGAAGGGAGTTATCAAGTGTCAAATTCTATTGGGAGAGTAAAAGTAAATTTCATTATTGCCTGTACGAAATAATTAGATGGCAAGGCAGAAATAAACAAGAGACTTCGCTATCAACACGACTGTGGAAATAACGTCTGTCCTTTTTTACCTCCTGTTCAGTCGTGTGAAAGAGGCAGACAGATGCATGTTCTCCAGAGTAGCTGTACGGGCTGCTAAAAGTCCCTGGGATCGCACTGGGGCTGGGTGTGGGAAGCCAGGAAAACAGTGACAGGTCCGTCCTGACAGGGGCCAACTTCACAAAGAGCCAGCAAAAATCAACTCCCTAACGGTGAAGAAGCCCTCATGTGCCCACAGAAATCTCTGACAAGCTCACAGTCCAGGAAATGTCCATGTTGGCTAAAAGAACGTGGAAGACGAGGAGGAA